CCGACTCGCCCCCGTCCCGCCGCAGCCGGGGCTGGTTCCCTTCTCCTGCCAGCCGTCCCCAGAGGCAGCTGCGAGCGGTGCCCTCCCGGCCAGCCCGCGGACCGCCCGCAAGGAGCTGCCTCCCGCAGCAGCCATTTTAAGATGCCCGCGAAGAGCCTCGAGTACCTGTCCCGCTCTCCCGCTTAACGACTGCGGGGGCTGTCCGAGCGCCTGGGGGGGGGGGGGGGGTTTTCCTCCAGCCCCCAGTAGCTCTCGGCGTGGGCGGGCACGCCGAACCGCGGTAAGCCCCCCCCCCGCAGACGGCGCCTCATCCCGGACCTGCCTCGGGAAGAGAAGGGAGTCCGCGCTAAGCGAACTCCTTCGGGCTTCATTGCTTGATGTGCCTGCGACTGCGAAGAACTAGCGGAAAAATCGGTCAAATGGTTATTCAGAATTTCCCGTGACGTTCTGGCCTGCTCTCGGACTGGAGACGAGCTGCTAGAGGTAAACTTGAAATAACAGCCCTATAAACATCGTTAAGGAAGCAAGAATCTTAGTTGCTCCCAATAAAGTCCTGGGGGAAAACTTTGGGCATCAGCAAAAATCACTCTCGCACAACTCTATGGCATGACTTACTCCTCAGCTAGCCCCTGTGCTCGATCTGATGAGGAAAACGCCTCTATGTAAATTCAACTTGCTAGTAAGAATTGCACTCGGATATCAGATGCACCGATTCAGAAGTTTCTCTGTCTTGTTTTAAGCAACAGCAACAAAAAACCCCAAACAACATCTTTGCAGGAAGGGCAATTAGCACCAACTATGCATATACAATTATAGACTATTACAGACCAAATAGCCCGCATGTACACTTTTAAGTTTAAACCCCCTCTGTTTTTCAAAATATTTACTTAAGCAAATTGATGGTAACATCAACAGTTGACAATTTCAATTAAATTACATGGGGAGCTTGAAATGGGGAGCTCCAAACAGCATCAAATGGGAAACATTGCGCCTTACTGAAGTCCAAACTAAGTAATGATGGGATAATGCCATGTAAATGGATTGACTGTACTGTCAACTCCATTCCTCTCCTATAGGCCATGTTTTACTTTGGGAGTAAATCACCCAAAACCAGGCAAGTCAGTTGGTGGACAGTTTGGCAGCAGGTTTGCAGCTCTTCACCACATGCCCCTTTGCCTTTAAAGAGGCATAAATCTCTCAGTTTTAAAATGCTCTTTTCAGTGCTTCTGTAAACACATAAAATGAGAGCTGAAGGCATCTGCTTATTTGCAGAACATCAACAAGGACAGCTTACTTCCACCAGTACTAGGCAAATATGGTCAAGAGACCACTATGGATATGCCATGCCTGTTAAGAAGTAATTTAGCTTGTCCTTCTCATTGGAATTACCAACTTTTTTGTGATGTAAGTATCTGTCTGTCCAAGAAACTAGACAACTCATACCCCCCCCGCCCCTTGTTGGCACTGTGCTCTCTTAAGCATAAAGCCAGATGACTTCAAACTGGCACTAAATAGGAAACCATTTAATGTCAGTTAATATTAACTGATGTTTTCTTTGAGGGTTTGTCCCAGTTGGTGGACTCTTAAGTATGGAAGGCCTCACTAGGAGAGGAGAAAGGTTTTATTCTGACATTTTTATTCCTCTGTATTGTTTATTGAAACCCAACAACTTTATCCAAGAACACAGCAAACTTTTCTGGCTGTCCAGGAGGATAAGGTTTCAAAGTTGACAAGTCCATTGACTGCAGTGTCTCCACAAGAGTGCTGTAAAAAGAGACCAAAACCAAAAATTTTTTAAAAATCCATTCCAAAGGGAAGTGTTTTCTTCACACAATTTTCTTTCTAGTCATACATACATAATCCTTTAGCACAGAAACAAAAATAAGGACATGTATTGAAAGGAAGAGACCCCACAAACCAGCAGGCCCCAACCATCGCTGGCTCCTAGGCAGCATTGCTGAGAACACACTTGGACCTACAGCACAGCTTTGACAGACAACCTCAGCTCTTGACTTTTTAATCTGATGTGGTTGCAATGTTGGGAGACTGAACAAGATCTGAGGATCTCCACCATAAACGGTACCAGGAAATTCATCCTATTTTAACACATGGCATAGTTCTCCACTTAGCACATAGCCAGAAAGAACAGTCAAAAATCAATCTGTTTGCTTGCTACTATCAGACTGCAAGTAAGGCTCGAATACTAGGCGCTGTTCAACACAAAGAAAGAAAAATTCCTTCCTGTCTCCAAAGCTGTCAGAAGCACTGAGACAGTAAGTTTAAAAAACTTGCCCAATATAAATGAATGACAGGCCTAGTCTTTTCAGAAGGCTCTTCTGAAACATACAAAAGTCTATTTGCAGGGCAAAGGAACAAGATGCAGACTAAATAATGGGAGTTGCATTTCCTCTGCCTTCAATTTAGAGGTCATCTGTTATTTATAGAGTGCAATCAATCATAAATAAAAACAGTAAGATATAGTCAAAACAAGAGAGCGAATGAAACTAACAGGAGCCAGGATGAACACAAAAGGAGCTGGGTTTTTTTGTTGATGGTTGGGGGGAGGAGGCTGGTTGTTTGGTGGTTTGGTTTGTTGTTTGATTTTTTTTCCCTGAAGTGACAGGCAGTAGATCTGTGAAACTCCCTGTCAGAGGATGTGGTGGATTCAGGAAGTTTGTTTAAAAGGGCAGCCTGAATAAGTACTTGGAAGGCAGAGGTATTGAAAGTTACTAACCAAACAGCATCTGATTTAGGAATCCCCCTGAATCAAAGCACTTAAGAGCATTAGAGAGAAAGTAATACAAGGAAGTACCTTATGTTCTTGCCCTGCTTCTACTTTTGGCTGAGCATCTGCATATGGCCACTGCAAATAGGATGCTGAGCTACGTGGACTCCTGATCTGTGTCAGTAAGGCCATTCTTATGTTTTGTTCTAAATACTCCAGATACTTTCAATTTTATTATGTCAGTGCATCTATACAGTCAGCTTTAGTGCCCTTTACTAGGAAAATCTACATAGCAAAATGATGAAATGAAATCGTAAGTCTGCAGGGAGCATTTTATTCCTTATGGCTCATGGTTACATACAGATGGTCTGGCTTGTATTATTTCTAGACTTCAAAAAAGAATCCAACAACTAGTGAGAAGGAGCAGAGAAAGAGAAAAGCTGTTAGGTGCCTCTAGGATGCTACCTGACTGTTCCAAATTCAACCACTTCTATTTGGTTTAAACTCCTTTCAATCTGAATACATGTGCCCTCAAAAAAAAAAAATTTAGAAGGAGTCATGGTCAAATGGTTTGATAAGTTTGGTAAATTAGCACCTAATGTTAATCTATCCACTATGGGAAATCTACATTGCAAACAAATGGTTGTTACAGAGGAGGAGGATGTCGATTTCCTTGTTACATTCTCAATACTGTAATAACACAGCGAGTGATGGTGCTGAACACTGCTTGTTCCATCAGGACAGCCACAGCAGCTCCATACCTGCAATTACAGTAGAGGACGTGCCCATCTCTGTGGAGCTGTTTTGCCAGCTCAAGCTGATGGTTGTTCATCAATTTTTCATTTGTTACTACTATTAGTGGCTTTCCTTCTTCTAGAGTCTCCAGACAGCTACCTGCACCTACAGGAGAAGCAGAAAACATGACGAGTTTTTTGCCCTGACGGACGCAATATCATCCTACTTGCTCTTGAAACATCCTGAAGGTGAACATTTGACCATCCAGCTCTAGCTCTGGACCTGAACATTCATTGCCAGCCCACCTCCGAGCCGCAGAGAAACAGACTTCATCCAACCGACACCCACTCCTGCCCCGAGGAGAACAGGCTCGGCAGACAAACAGGGCTCTACCTGCGTGGCTGATGACCAGGTCCGCCCTCCGCAGGTCCTCGGCCAGCGAGTCCTTGAAGCGGAAAGCTTCCACCGCCAAGGCCGGGCTCCCGCGCAGCGCCGGCTTCAGCTCGCCCCGCCCGACCTGTAGCACCAGCTTCTGGTAGCCGCGGCTCTGCAGCACCTGCGGCGGCAGGAGGGGAGGGAATGGATGGGATCGATGGTGGGGGGTGTGCGTGTACCCGGGTCGGACACCGGGACAGCGGGCCCCGCTCCCGGTTACCCCGGCCCGGGGGCCGCCGCCACCCCCCCCGCCCCGCCTCCCGCTTCGCGCCACAGACCGTCGGCGCCTCCCCGTCCTCCGCCACTTCCCGCCGCTCACCACGGCCCTGCCTCACGCCCCCC